TTCAGGTTAAATTTAAATATTTGTAAAATATCAATATCATACTTTTATGTAGGGTCTTAATTTGAGCCTTTGGAGTTTGTAATGAATCTATAGCCTTTACTAGTGAATCATAAAGATTATAGTGCTTCGGATTATATTATTTAAATGTTTATATATTGAAATATTTTAACTTGTGCTTGCCATGACTATCTAATAAAATAAGTTAATGACTGGTTTCTACTCTGCCAATTAGTTAATGCCTATACATTGTATATTCATTTAGAAATGCATTTGGCCTCAGACCCATTATGATCTTTCATGATGTGATGACACAAAATAAATACAAATGCTGGATGCAAAAGTGATACACGTTTTTATTACTTAAACACTGTTTTTATACTCTTTAATTTCTACAGTGAAAACTGCTGTAGAGAACGGAGTCTTAAGTGGTTTCTGCAGAGGTCTCTGAGGCCTGTAACAAAGTAGAACTAAGCATGAGAACATTTTTAAAATATATGCTAGAAGAAAGGGCACCTTTATCTCAAAATACACAAAGAGTTAAAAAAACTGTGTATATTAGTTTATGGTTCATTCAATATCTACAGAGTAAGCAAAAAGTAAGTATTAATAGGATAATTGGAGACAGCTGTCATAGGGCAAAACAAATGCATCTTACTGACAGATCAGTGTAGAGTTTATTGAATCTGTTTTTTGCAGGGAAAATTTCATGCAGAGTTAAGAACAGATGCTGAACAATATGGCACATTTGATTTCATGCTGCTCATGCATCCTAGCCTCTAGCATTCTTGATGAGGTCAGAAGATTAGTGAAATTTCACTTGTCAGGAACAGTGGCCATGTAGGTTGATGGCTCAAATCAACTGTACTGAAGCAAAGTGTGTAAGGTCATCTCCCATGTGTTTTTGTTGCTCTTCAGCATATGTCTGTATGGCCATAATTTAAAGGATGTAAGCTCAACAGAGAATACTTTAAATTATATTTGTTGCATAATTTTTCTGCTTTCTCAGCTACATTCTCTGTAGTAGATAACTTTTACATTACTCATTTTTACTCCATTAATTTTTAACCTGACTTCAGCTAACTCCATAGCTTACTCCTTCTCATAACACAAAGAATTAGAGGTAGCCCACTGAAATAAGTAGGCAGCTGATTTAAAACAATGTGACAGAAGTATTTCTTCACACAACACAATCTGTGGAACTCCTTGCCAGAGGATGCTGTGAATGCCTAGACTACAACAGGGTTCAAAAGAGAACTAGATAAATTCAGATGATAGGTCCATCAATGACTATTGGCCAGGATGGGTAGGAATGGTGTCACTAGTTTGTTTGCCAGAAGCTGGGAATGGGTGACGGAGGGAGCGGGGGAGGGGGATCACTTGATTACCTGTTCTGTTCATTCCCTCTGGGGTACCTGGCATTGGCCTTATTGGAGGACGGGGTGCATTATGAATTGGTTTTTTTTTAGAAAAAACCTCTTATTGAGTGTTGTTCACTTTGTCTTTATTAGCAGCTTCCTTAGGATGAATGAGAGAAAGGCAAGAAAGGTGGCTACAGGCACAGTTAGACTTACATATTTGATAAGAGATTGCAAAACATAGGATTACTTTTTCTGGAAAGATGAAACCTTTAGAAGAGCCTTGATAGTTTAAACAGATCACTTTTTTTCTTAACAAGGACAAGAATAATCTTATGTAATTAAAATGTAATAAACTTAAATACTCCCCTCTCCTCCAAATACACATGTATGAAGCAAGTAGTTAGCAAGTAAAACTATTGTGGAAGGCTGAATCATGTGCTGTCTGATTTCTCTCCTCTTCCTCCCCAAAGGTAGCTAATTTCCAGCCTGCTGACTCCATCTGTGGCTAGTCGCTTTAAAATGATACAAGTAATCTGGTATTTTGCTTTCAAAAGTAAAATGATTACTTTTGAGGAACAGTGGAGAATTATTTCCTCCATTTACAATATTACACAATTGCCTACATAGGTCTCCCCTGCAAACTTCAAAATGTTGCTTTTCCCACACAATGCTCCATGACGGTGTTCTGGACTTAATATCATTATGTGCAGGTAGTACCAGTATTGATATATTGAGCCTTCAAAAGTGACTCAGGTCACAAAAACATGACAAAATACATTTTGAGAGTTTTATACTTGCCTGCTGACTTCTGAGTCTTTCGAGTCCATGTTTTCAAGGTTTTCTCTGCAACAATAAGGGCTAGTGTTATACATAGGCAGAAAAAATGGGCTAAGCAGCTTTCATGCTGATTGACCCAGAGTCAACCATTAGATAGATGTCTGTAATTACAATATGTAAATTGTAATTCAGGCCATTTCATGTTAGGGAGGCTAGAAATTTGAAATGCACACTGGTGGTATTAGAAAATTAGAGGTGATGATACTTGTGTATATTTACTTACATCTTGCTAGATGTTAACCATGTCAACAGATACTTTGTCTATTACTGTCGCTGTTGATTCAGAGATCAAACGTAAATATTAACATTTAGATGAATCTTGGGTGAAATTAATTTCATTGTTCACCAGACAATGATATGATAGTCATGTATGTTGCTCTTAATGAGGTTCCCCCTGAATTGTGTGCTGGCCTATAAACCCTGTAAAGTGTTGGCAACACTGTTTAATCTCATAAATTATGAATAACATTATAGGTACTGTAGCGGGTTCACTCACTTTTTTTTTTCTTTTTGACCGGCTCTTTCCTCCAGGGTGGCCGGTTGGGGGAAGTAGCTGGCTGCTCGGACACCCCGTTTGGGTGTGGTGCTGGCTTCAGAGCACCAGCCCCTTAACAGCCCCTCCGGGCAGGCTGCAGGATCTCCCGGCCCCTACTCCCTGGCCACAGGTATGCCTCTGCCTGCCCGGTTGCCTCCTGGACTTACGGGCTGGGGCTTCCCTGGCTCAGCCTCCCCCAGCTTATCGCAGCTGCCTCCTATGCAGCTGTGGCTGCCCCCTATGCAGCCCAGACCTTTAGGGTTGCCTTCATAGCTTTTCAACAGCAAAGTACGGCATGTTTAAAATGTGTTATATTTTGGTATGGAACTAAATTGCTACGAAAATCTATGAAACACAACTTTTAAACCAGTTTCATGAATGTCAGAAACTTGCAAAATTTTAGGTACTGTTGGTAAAGGTATTACAAATGAAAAATAGTACATGCTGAGTGCACTTATTTCATTTAAGCACACAGGGACAATTATTTTACTCTATCTGTTTTGACAGTGAACTAGTAAAAATTCTATATAAACTGAAATAAACTGAGAATTGAATAAGAGTTAAAACTAGAATAGCAAGTATGTTGAAAGAATGCTAACATTCTAGCATGCTGTACATCAGTTGGTTTGGTGCTTTTATGAGAACATACTTGCAAATTATTAAAATATCTTTTAAATTACTAATAGAAATGTAGCCGTGTTAGTCTGGTCTAGCTGAAACAAAAAACAGGACTATGTAGCACTTTAACAAGATGGTTTATTAAGTGATGAGCTTTTGTGGGCCAGATCTGAGGAAGTGGGTCTGGCCCACGAAAGCTCATAACCCAATAAACCATCTTGTTAGTCTTTAAAGTGCTACGTAGTCCTGTTTTTTGTTTTAAATTACTATTGAGTTATAAAAATTATAGGCTGAGTTGGTGATAGATTAAACTTTCCTGAGATAGTAATTTCTAATTATTCTACTGAGCACTCTAGAAGATAAGTAAATATTATGTAACCTAGTCAGTTTTGTCTAATGGTATGTGACTAAAAGTTTATGCAAATCATATTTCAAAGACACAGGAATTTCCAAATTGTTGTTTAATAAATGGCTTCAATACTTATATCGCAGTTTAACTCCAGGATCTCTGCATCAGGCATAGGAATGAAAATGTGTATGGCCGGATGTCCGATAGCGTGGCCACCAAGAGCCACATGTGCACCCAGGAGAGAGGGAAAAGGAAGGTGAAGAAGCTAAGACAGGCATATGCCAAGGCTAGGGAGTGCTGGCCTGCACATTCCACACACAGCTTCACCACACCTAAAGGGTGCATCAGTCCCTTCTCACACCCCCCTCACTGTGGCACCATATCCATGCCTGCTAGCCAGGAATTCATGCTCACCCTGGAGCCAGTTACGCCCCCGCTCCACCCACCCACACACACACACACACACACACACACACACACACACACACACACACACACACCCCTAGGATATCTTCCAGGCATCATCCAAAGCCAGGGAAGGCCCATCAGGTGAGTGCCATTACTCTCCCTAGGCCCACATGGGTGGAGGTGGCAGGTGGTGAGGGACAGCTCCTCACTCAGCCTTCTTGGCCAGGGGATTGCACACCAGCCTATGCACATGGAGCACCAGTGTGGGGCACAGAGCCCCAGCAGGCACCAACAGAGGACCCTTGTGCTCTGACTCGCAGGTTGTCTGGAGTGGCCTATCATACTCCCGCCAGAGGGGGGAGGCTGGGGACATGGAGGACCCCACGCTCACACTCAGCAGTACTGTACATGGCACATGGGCATGTGCCTGCACTCTCAGGGCTGCATCTGCTCTGAGGGACAATGCAATGAGGCACAGAAGCATCTGCACTTGCAGGAAGTTTGTGTAACACCCTGCCTGTCCCCCATTATCCTCCCTCTCCTGCCAGGGATACAAGTTCTCTCCCTATCGAGCACTGCCACTGCAGAACCCAGCATGTGCGTGGCACAGAGGGAAGCCCAGGTGCCCTGTGGTCCCCACTCCCATCCGTAGGCTCCCATTCTGGCTGGCACCTTCCCATGCCTGCTTGTTCCCAGGATGTGGGGGCAGTGAGGCTCCCCCCTTGGACATCTGTGCTTCTGTAAGAAAGGGTCCACTGTCTAGGCCTCAGGTGGCCTTGCTCCAAGTATATTACTTTCATCTGACCTGTGGACTTTTGGTCTCAGCTCAAAGATGAGGGCTGGATTCATGCCCGGTGTCTCCTGGGATGACCGCCCTTCTCTTTGTTCTACACAGGTGGACCAGGGGAGTGAGCAGGGAGTAGTCAACATCTCCCATGCCATCCTCCTGACCCCATGTGACCCACCAGTGCAGGAGGACCCACAAGGACCTCCAGAGGGAAGACATCACTGCCCTGTGAGCCCTACAGTGTTGTGTGGACCAGCAGGACTGGAGACTCGAGGAGAATCTCCAGCTGCGCCATGACACCTGGTGGGAACTGTCAGCAGGGCTGAACTATCAGCGCAGGCTTCAACATGGTCATCATTTGCCTGGTGGCTGCTTCTGCTGTCACTCCCATATCAGCTCCAGCCCCTGGCTTCTCCCCCTAACCTCCCACCTCATGGCTGTCAAGGGACCACCCCAGGCAAGCACCATTCACAGCCCTGGTCCTGAGCCTCTCCTCCCTACTCCTTCCTCTTCCATCTTCCTCCTCCCCAGCCCCTCCCTGGTTACATTTACCCTAATAAAAAAAGTTTCCTATTCCAAAACAAAAAGTGTAGTTTATTGTCTCTGTGGGGTACAGGGGAAGGGTGGAGTGGTGGGAGGAAAGGCAAAGAGAATCAATGCACAGTTGGAGAAGCCTGTGACGACAAAGCCAGTGATGATGGGGCTACGTCTCCCAGGTTGATGGATCTGAACAGCAGGATGATGTTGATGGCCCTTACCACCTGTAGAAAGAGACAACAAACAGAAAATCACAGGATTTTCAGAGCCTTCAGGTGGTTCCCCAAGCACACACCCTCCTCACCCTGCACACCAGGAGCAACTTCATTTGCCTCATCCCCCATCAAAGTTTGTGAAGGCAGGACTAAAAAAACTCCCACAGAGGGAGATTCCACCACCTATACTACCTCCTCCACCACCTCCCCCCTTCCCTAGGGAACCCCACGCCAGTCATTCAGTTCACCAACCTCCTGTGATTATAGCACAAAAGCACCATACCTGCATGACCGCGGCCCCAGCAGTCACTCTTCTGATGCCAAACTGGTTCCTGACAGACTGGTAGCTGTCTGGCATGGTGAGCTTCCAGATTGCAATGATGACCCGCTTCTGGAGAGGGATGGTGGGTCTCATATGGGTGTCCCATTGCTGGAGGCCAGGGGAGAGCCACTCACACAGCTCCATGAATGAGTCCTCCACATGCAGAAATTCTGGAGCCACTGATGGTTGTCCCACTGATCCAGGACACTATAATCCTACCAGGCGGAGCTGGTGTCTAGTTGCCAGAAGCGCCAGTGCAGTGTGCAGGGGAGGGTGGATGAAGTTGTACTGCATGAACAGTGTAGGAAATAATTTCTGGACATACTGGGTGCAGGTGAAAACAAGCAGAAGATTTATTGGTTCACACAGGTGGTGGAGTACTCATCAGGGGTTAACCTAATTATATGCTTTTATTTTGTGCATCAGCTTCAGAGGGTTTGAGTGAATTACTTTATTGTTCAATTTTTAAGTTAATGGTGGCATGCCTCAGTTTTCTTCTTGTACTGCAGACCAGGTGTTTAATGTGTGAAGCTTCAAACTATTCATGGGTGTTAATTGAGAGGCTTTACTGTTATAGACATTCTCCTTACTACTAGGTATTGCCAATTACCATTCCGGTAAGCAAAAAGGTTTTCAGTTTCTTAAAAAGAATCATATACAGTGTTACTTATTGAGACTATATTAATAATAATATTGACATTACATTTTGTCAAATAGGTGCTTATAAATATCTTGTTTGTATTTGGACAATTTACTTCAGGGGTTTTATATTTCTTTGAAATAGCCAGGCAGCCTATATTCACATATAACGTTGGATTTGAAAGCAAGCCAAAAGTGTTATCAACTCAGTCTTGAAAAGAGACAGTAAAGTTCCAAAGCTTGGGTTCCTAAAATAATAATTTGTTTATAGAGAGTTAAATTTAACCTTAAGGATTGAATGTATAGATTTCATTTTTTTATGCAGGTAACCAATTAAGTTTCAGTAGAATCCCTCATTTCCCCTTTGCAGATTTAACAAAAGTGTCCATAGCCAAATAGTTACATTTGATTGTTTCTTTGCCTACATGGTTTGCACACTGCTTAAGAAAAAGGCTGAAAGAAATGAGGCATCATTTTTTTAAAGCAGGTTTCCCTTCACATTACAACAATCGCTTAATTCCTTTCACACTCCCACAGAGTCAACTTCTCACCTTCACATACCTTCAATCACTTCCTTCATCCTTCCAAAGAAAACATTCCTCATTCCTAGTAACTTTCCAATGTCTGTCCTACTTTCCTTATTCCTTCCACTATGTCCATAGGGCTCCAAACCTTTTGCCTTCCCCTTTCACATGTTTTTTCCTTCTTATGATCCATCTTGAATCCTGCTAAATGACTTTTCTCAATGACACAAGTTTGTCCAGTATTAATTTGGTAAGGAGGGGGGGCTTTCCAATTAGCCTCCTGTGACGTAGTGGGGGGTACCTTGCAGGTTGCTATACTGGGCAGTGGATTGTGAGTGACCTCCGCTGTCTGCTGTCTGTAGCATGGCCCAGCAGGGCAGGGGATGAGTCATTATGCAAGGGGCTCCGAACCTGTCTGACCAGTAACTCCGAGGGAGCGGAACAATGGGAAGAAGGGGAGTGGAGCCCTGGCTGGGGGCAGGGCTGGAAGTGAGTTTAGTTAGTTTCTGTCTGGGAGCATGGAGGAGACAGCCTAGTGAAAGGGGCTGGAATTTAGGGGCCCAGTCTCCCCCATCTCAAGGGGAGCTGAGGCATCCTAGGCCTGCCCTGGAACCAGATTACATCTGTGCGGTGCTGTATCCTGGAGAAGCAATAAACTCCCTCTATTCTACTGGCTGGTGGAGTCTGTCCATGCCATTACGGGGGTTCAGGAGACGGGAAAACCCCAATGCGCCGTCATACCCCCATACCTCCTGATTATTTTCAGTGGGTAAATCCGAATGTTTATTATTGCAGTCAGCTATTACTGATTTTAAACTTAGTATAGGGTTTTCGTAACATTTATGCTGCAGCAGAGTCTGCGGTGTTTTGTTTTTTACAGTTAAATTAAGAGATTGTAAACGTTGTCAATTTACTTCAAAGTCTGTGGGGTTTTCTCTGAAACAGTTCATTCTATGATGGCTTTGGGTTAACTACTTCCTCAAACTTGATAGGAGATCTAGGTCACCAATTGTGTCTCCTTATCAGGGGCCAACGATGATTACATCTTCAAATTTAATTGCCACTAGCTGGCTTAAGGTGGCTTTTAATTTACCTCCTCCCACTTCTTCAAGCCAAATGTAACGGTGTGTGAGGGGAAGGTTTGGCTGCTTAGTAATAGTTTGCCCAGCTGCCCTCCCCCGTTCATGTACTACAAAACATTATTTGCTGGCACGGAGCTTAAGAATCTCCTGGAGTTGCTTGGCAGTTTCTCCTGCTCCTGCATGCTGTTCTGTGTGTCCTGTGTGCTGGGGGCGTTCCTGCTCAGCCATTGTCCTGCCTTCCCCCCTCCGGGGTGGCAGCATTCTGGTTTAGTGTGGCCAGTTTTTTTGCAGTTGTTACAAAGTTTGGGCTTCCTTGTATGCCCACAGTACCCTGGCTTTCCACAGGTGTAGCAAAGAGTGGCCTGAATTGGATGGATTGTGGCCACTGCCTTTTATAGTGTTGATTGAAGCTACTTTCTTTCCCTTCCTGTTCTGTAAATCAATAATCCACTTCAGTATGTCTGTGTATGCATTTCCAACCAAAATGCCAAGGGCCAAATCAGCTTGATGGTCGGTGGACATCCTTCCTTCAGAATTTGGAGGAACACTTCCCCTAATCTGGTAAACTTATTCTAAGACTCAGTGTTTCTCTTTGGAGCGGGCAGATTTGTTACTAGAGCCCGTTTTTCCAGAGGGACGATCTGATCCCTTTCAGTTATCTTCTGTGCCTCCTCTCTATCTTCAGTGATGTATGGTAAGGGACCGTATAGGGCTGGGCATAAAAAGGGATAAAGGGGGTGATATTGTGCCAAATTCCTCCTGAAGCTTGGGAGAGGCAGTGCAGTTGGTACAGCACCAGATGAGAAATCTTTTCCTCTCACTCCTAGTGCATTCCTTTGGCACAGAGGCTCTGTGGCTGCTTGTAAGTTACATTTCTCACTGCAGGGCAGATTTTTGCTCCTCTGAGCTTCAATCTCATCCCTCAGGGTATGTCTACACTACCCTCCTAGTTCGAACTAGGAGGGTAATGTATGCATACCGCACTTGCTAATGAAGCCCGGGATTTGAATTTCCCGGGCTTCATTAGCAAGTGCGGTATGCATACATTACCCTCCTAGTTCGAACTAGGAGGGTAATGTATGCATACCGCACTTGCTAATGAAGCCCGGGATTTGAATTTCCCGGGCTTCATTAGCAAGTGCGGTATGCATACATTACCCTCCTAGTTCGAACTAGGAGGGTAATGTATGCATACCGCACTTGCTAATGAAGCCCGGGATTTGAATTTCCCGGGCTTCATTAGCAAGTGCGGTATGCATACATTACCCTCCTAGTTCGAACTAGGAGGGTAATGTATGCATACCGCACTTGCTAATGAAGCCCGGGATTTGAATTTCCCGGGCTTCATTAGCAAGTGCGGTATGCATACATTACCCTCCTAGTTCGAACTAGGAGGGTAATGTATGCATACCGCACTTGCTAATGAAGCCCGGGATTTGAATTTCCCGGGCTTCATTAGCAAGTGCGGTATGCATACATTACCCTCCTAGTTCGAACTAGGAGGGTAGTGTAGACATACCCCCCGGGCTTTAATTTCTTCCTCTTTTAATGCAAGAGTTTTTAACAATGTTATTAGTACCTTCTTGGTGTTTCCACTTTCCTTTTCAATTCTCCACTTGATCAAATCCTTCTCTGGTGCTTGTTTGTAGTCTAGCCTTTCCCTCCTATGATTTTCCACATACAGCTTATACCGCACCTTCCTTGTGCCTACAGGCACCCTCCCACTGCTGGCTGGGTCGGGGATCTGCACTATTCGAGAGTGGTATACGTCATGTGCCGGTTGGGGGGCTTCCATCAGGTCTTGCAATGTTACGTGCAATGAGGGAGTGGACCACCAGTTTGTACTGCCTGCCGCCTTGCGTACCCAGTCAATTCTGAGCTTAACGTACAGATCAATAACTCCCCGGTGGTTTTATCCAGTCCCTCTGTAACAGCCCCTTAGCTCAAACAGTACCCTGCCCTCTTGTGCTTGTCCCCA